GAACTCTGTCAAGAAATTAAAGCAGGAATTAAATCTGGGATTGTTCCTAGAGACTCCAACAGCAGGCTTTTTGGGTAAGCCTACAGAAATCTTTTTCAGTTTTAGGGAGTGAGAGGAATAAAAAGAATATAAATGTATTTATTACCACTGAACCATGCACTTAAAAGTGGTAAAGATGGTAAATTTTTTATGTATACTTTACCTAAATAAAAGGTGTATGAAGAAAAGAAAACCACTCTAAAGCAGCATTGCCTTGTTTCCTTGATTCTAAGATGCATTTCTTCATATCCTAAAGATTCTGAAGTTAAGATGAAGCAAATGAACCAAACTTTAAAAGCAAATGTTTTAAAAATTGCCCATGTCATGTGGGACATTAATTTTTAATTTGGTAATGAATTATCACTTCAAATGTCTTTCAAAAACTGTACCATGATAGAAACTGTACCATGATAGAACACAGAAGAGAGACTATTGCTGCCAAGCAATGCAATCGTCAAAACATACAGAGTAGAACCTGGAGTTTCAAAACTAGCAGAAACAAGTGTAGTCAATGTATGGACCAAACAGGACCATGATTCAGATACTGAGCATATCTATCTATTAAAATGTCTGGTTGACTTTCAAGAGATGCTCTTTGACTTCTAGGTATACAAAATTCAATTCAAAACAGTAAAAGTATACCTTTAACAAAGTAAGAAACATAGATGAAAATGATATTCTTTAATTTTTATTTATTTATTTTGCATGTAATGTTCATCTATTCCAGATATTCTTTAAAGGCCTCACAATTTCACTATTAATCTAAAGGTGCTATGTAAATAAAGATGATGAGTGCATGTCATGAAAAGCAACATGGTCCTATCATGGTAATATGCACAACTATGAAAGGTCCAAAGTTACTCAGAGCAATCTATAATCCAGGCATGAAGACAGCTTAGTGTGTACGCAGTACAGAAGAAAATAATAAAGAAGTGAATCAACAAAATGCTAATACTGTAAAAAAGTACAAATATTTTTGTGTAAATTTATTCTAGTCTTTCTTCTCCTCTCCCCTTCTCTGGAATCAATGCTAGTAGATAAGTAACTGATCAAGAGATCAACAAAGATTTGCCAAGGTTTTGTGAAGGAAGTACCTTGAATGCTCAAGTACTAGAGTCTGAATTCTAATAGACGATGGATCTTCACCACCAACAGAACTGTCTCATTTGCCATCCAAACAGAAACATCCTTGAGACGTCAGCATCAAAGTTAAGGAAATGGAGATGTGAGGATGTGCTGTAAGGAGTTGTCTTACCTCTCACTGGAACTTCACCTTTATCCCCAGACTGTTCTCATGGCATTGGGATGACTTTTGGGAAGCATAGTAGACACCAGTTTAGGCCTTGTTTGTACTTGGCAAATTTTATATGTGCCATGCTTCATTCGCTCAAAAGTAATATGACTGCCCTGTCTATCTGATAGGGTCATGGTAAAACCTAATGGAAGTATATAAGAGAAGGCCTTTTCTAACTGTAAGTACCAGACAAGCAAGTTTTTACCAGCATCATCATAAGGACACAACAATCAAATAATAACACCAAATTCATCTGAAAACATAAAACCATACAACATAGAGTAAATTTTTTAAATTAAAGTGCAAAGGTCACCCTGTGCTACTTGAATTTAATGGGGCAGACCACTGGCTTGCTGACCCCATTCCAATCTATAGGTTGTTTCAGATCTTTTCATGACTTAGACCCTAAGACTCTATCTTATTCCCAAGTTTTGAGTAAAGTATCAAATGTTTCCTTTTTCTTACTAAAAGCACCATCTATTCAAGTAGCCATCATTTTTTTTTTTAACTTACCTGATACAATGATTTCTAATCAACCAAAGGAACATGTTTCTGCAGAATTCACAGCAAAGGTCAATCTTCCAAAAATCTTTCCTGGACCTCCCTGGGTAAGACTTCCCAACTGCCTTTTCTATCAGAAGGCCCAACACATAACTTCTTCTACTTCAGCTGAGTGTATGACTCAGTATTTAAAAACCTGACTATTTTTTCCTTTTTCAAGGAGGCCAAGTATTTTACAACACAAACACTTGTTAAATGAAGTTAATCCATCAAATACTACAAACCTCACTTACACACAGATTAGACAAATTCATTTCTTCAGAAGCCTGAAGAATTGTTTTCAGTCAAGACATCCCAAGACAGTACAGATGGGGAGATCAAACCTTCCTCTGGAAGGAGTCCTGCAGCTAAATCTGAGGAATCTGGAAGAACATCAGCAGGCGGCAGGGGACCTGGGCTCCCAGCCCACAGATAAGAAAAGAAAATTTCCTCCTGGCCAACCTGGAACCCTTCAAAAGCATGAAACTTACCCTATTCTCCCAGATTTCCCCTTTCCTATGACAAAAATTAAACACATGCAGTTGCCAAATGCTCGCATCCTAGAAGGCAAAGAAACTACAGCTCTCTGCTTTGATAGAGAGTCATCAAAGGTTGAAACCATTCAGGATTTTGTTTTCCAAACTCACTGCTGACCTCGAGGAAGTATGACACCACCAGCCTAAGCATAGGGCAGCTGTTCTTTTTTGGCTGGAGTTCAGTATAAACCTTACAAATGTTCTGCTAGCATTCTCTCTTTAAAAAAAAATAACAATTTTGAAAAATTCCATAGTCACTCAACTCCCAGCCTAGTGTTTTCACAGAAAAGTTTTTCCGGCTAGACAGAGAAAACCATGCATGTATTCCCGATAAATTTCTGAGCCAAAAAGGTACCAGCAAGTTATTCCCACCAGCGAAATGTAATAGAATAAATAACTTGGCAAATGGAACATCAACAGCTAAAACAGTTCCAAAGAGTCACTGAATACCAGTTCTCTCTGAAATATCAAAGGACAAAAATCTTGCATCAAACAATTTACTTTTCAAAGAGGCCCTCACTAGTAAAGGCACTGAATATTCTTTTATTTACAAATGAAAATCAGACATCAGAAAGTTTTCTTTTTATCAAAAATTTTGATCCATTATAAAGATAGCACAATGGCTATATTGTATTCATTATTTAACTGTCCCAGCTAAGAATTCAGCTACAACCATCACGTATGGTCATACCATGATCATGATGTGTCCCGAAAGCCTGGCATCTGTCCCTTCTTCCCTATTTCCCTCATTACAGACTTACGTATGCACAAGGGCCAGATGATGACAGTGCTCCCAAAACTAAAGTAAACGTTTTTAGCCAGGCGTGGTTGATAAATAAAATAAAATTAAAATAAAAAATAAAAAAATAAAAATAAACCTTTTTTTTTTTTTTGAGTTGGAGTCTCACTCCGTCACCCAGACTGGAGTGCAGTGGCTGCTCCCGGCCACCGCAGCCTCGACCTGCTGGGCTCCGGCGATCCTCCCACCTCAGCCTTCCAAGTAGCCGGAACTACATGCACGCGCTACCACACCCGGCTCATTTTTGATTTATTGTGGAGATGAGGTCTCTCCAAGTTGCCCAGGCGGGTCTCGAACCCTCAGGCTCAGGTAATCCACTCACCTAAGCCTCCCAAGGTGTGGGATTACAGGCTGAGCCACTGAGCCCGGGTAAAAATAAACCTTTTATAGGGCAAACGAATGGTCTCTTATGATTTCAGAGTCATATTTGTGACAGACCTACACATGGACCAATATGTTCAGGAGAAACCAAAGTCATTTCCTAAATGACTTTTTAAAATTCTTGCTTGGCAAGTCAGTAGACTTCCAAGACCATAAGCAAGAATATGGATTTGGTTTATAAAACTAATGCTGGCAAACCCCTTATAGAATCAGTAAGCATGGGGTTCTCTCCCACTATATGTTCCATCCCCTTAATTTGTATATTTGAAGCTACCATATAATTGTCAGATTGTCATGTCACCTGCTAAACTTGTACCTCATGCAACAACACCGATCCCCTATGCATCATCTGTTTCATTCTTCGCTGAGCTGCTGAACTGATCCCTAATACTAAGCAAAATTCAAGGACACTGGCTTGCTTCTGTGTGCTACAGGTTTGCACTGACTACTGAACACTTCAGCCCTCAGCCCTTCCAGTCCTCCAGCAAGTCCTCTACTCCATGGAAGATTTTCTTTATTGCTAGGCAGCTCCATGAACACACTTCATTGCAGCTCTTTCATAAAACACTCTGGCTTCATTTTAGGAAACAAGAATAATACAGACATATGGGGGAAAAGTCTTTTGTTCCCTTGTACTCAAAGGATAATGCCTCACACACACACTTACTCAATGATACACTTGTATGTATATATTTTTTTGTTTTTTGTTTTCGTTTTTTTTTTGAGTTGGAGTCTCACTCTGTCGCCCAGACTGGAGTGCAGTGGCCGCTCCCGGCCACTGCAGTCTCGACCTGCTGGGCTCCAGCGATCCTTCCGCTTCAGCCTTCCAAGTAGCCAGAATTACAGGCATGCGCTACCACGCCCGGCTGATTTTTTGATTTATTGCAGAGATGAGGTCTCGCTGCCCAGGCAGGTCTCGAACCCGCGGGCTCAGGCAATCCACTCACTTCAGCCTCCCAAAGGCGCGGGATTACAGGCTGAGCCACCGAGCCCGGCTGTATGTATATATTGTATACATAAATACATAGCCTTGTATTCACCTAAATGAGTATCATTTATGAGCATCATGTAATTTTAATGTGTGAATTTATCACCCACCAAAGTAGGGACTAAACAATAGTGAGAAACATTTAATCCCCAATGAATTATTAAGTTGACTAATCACAAAGGATGTTTAGTAAATACCAATCACTAGCCTGCATAGGAAAAGATAATTATTTCTAAAATCAACTTCATAGCAAAAAAAAAATCTCATAAGCGAAGCATTCCCCTTTAGAACACCCACCTCACAATGTTCATGCACTGCCCCTGAACTCCAAGTCACCTTGCACAGACACACTTGGTATTGTGTGAAGACAGAGGGTGAGAAATGGGGCCAGCCCTACCTTTGGGCTTTCTTGAGCCTTCATACCTGTGCTGGTGCTCCTGTAAGACTTGATAAATGCTGATAAGAAAAGTTTGGTTTTTAAAACTCCCCACAACACAGTCCTTGTAGATGCGGAATTCTGCAGCCGTCACCGCCTCACCCTCAGGAATCTGGGATAAGTTGAACTTGAACTCTTTGTGGTGTCGCTGACGAGGGGAGAACTCCTTGTCGTACTCCACTATAAGATTAAACAAGAGAGATTGACAGCTATTGTTACTTGACTAAGTGCCACAGGCTCACCTCACCACAGTTTCCCCGTTTTGCTCCATAAGTGGATTACCGGTTACCCATGGCCTCTTAGAGGGTTGGGGTGGCAAACAGAACGCTGGCTAGGCTGCCAGGCTGAATGAAAGCCCTTTGCGTTACCCAAGGAGTAAACACGATTCTTAAATTTTCTGTAGTTTAAACGCTTCCGTTTGAATACTTAGCTGTACTAACTTGCATGAGAGCAAGTTACTGCAACTCTTGGCTGCGAGTTTTCTCATCTGCAGAAATGGGAAGAACAAGACTTCACAGGAAAAGGTATGAGGACTAACGAAATAATGAATAAGAACCCATCTGCCCATCTTGGCCCCGTCATCTCTTCCTGGACCCCTTCTTCCCAACGCTTTTCCCTCCTCAGGCTGATTCATGTGTGACCATCCGCAGTTGACATAACCAAGGGCAGCCCTGAGCTGAGCATTGGTAAGGGTGACATGGGGGGGGTTGGGGGAGTGGGTAGCACATTTTGCCTGGACCTGTAGTTCAGAGGGGTCTTAGACTTCACCAGTTGGATAGTGGGGGTGTTTATGCCTTTCCCCTCCTGGTGGAACCTGAGGAACTGGAAAGCTGCTGGGGAACCCCATTGGATCTGCGCATAGAACCCAAACAGGAGAATAAAGATGGGAAAAGAAATCACCAAATGAGCCACTTGCTATTTTCTAATGGTTTGCATTGGGAAAAACAAAAACAAACAACAACAACAACAACAAACTGGCAAGAAAAGATTGAGTCTGAAAGGTTTTTTTAAAGATGGAATCAACCTAACTGTTCATCAAAGGTGAATGGATAAACAAAATGTGCTATACACATATGAGGGATCAGCATTCAGCCTTAAAAAAAGAAGATCCTGCCATTTGTGATGACATGGATGAACCTGGAGCCCATCATATTAGGTGAAATAAGAGAGCTAAATACCACATGATCTCACTTATGTGTGGAATCTAAAAAGTTAAACTCACAGAAGCAGAGAGTAGAACAGTGGTTTCCAGGGGCTGGCGGGGGGGGGGGTGTCTTGGGGAAATGCTGGTCAAAGGGTACGAAGGTTTAGTTATATATCAGGGAGGAATTCTGGAGACCTAATGAACAGCATAGTGACAACAGTTCGCAATACTGTATCGTATACTTAAAATTTCTAAGAGAGTAGATTGTAAGTGTTCTCACCACAAAAAGAACCAAAAAAAAGTTGTAATCTATGTGAGGTGATGGAAATGTTAATTAGCTTGATAGTGGTAATCATTTTACAACAAATATGTATATCAAAACACTTTGGATCCCTTAAATACATAACATTTTTATTTTTCAATTATGCCTCAATAAAGATAGAAAAAATTGTTAATAAAATATTTTTCCTGCGTGAAGACAAATTTTGAAAAATCGTAATTACTGATGATCACGTTTTCACAGTCAGCTTTCAGATGTCTATATAAAGTCCTGTGTGAGAGAAATGATTTCAATCCCAAGATGCTTAACTCATAATCACTATAAAAGAAAAAAAGGAGAACCATGCTTCCCACCATAAATCCTTAAGTCTTTTCACCAGAGTTAGGAAACGATTGTACCCTGCTGTTCCTGTTAGTTTTTTCTTAATGGTAACCACAGTGAAATCTCATGAGCAAATTAATCCTTATGGCAGGGCTTGTGGGTAGGAAAAAATCAAATTATTTGCCACCTCCAACCTCTCACTTTCTTCTACATGTGTTGTTTTTCATAATTACCAGAGAAAAGCTTTGGAGATTTAGCTTCTTAAAAAAAAAAAAAGGTTAATAACTCCTTAGAAGAACCTAAGTCCTCAATGGCATTTGCAGAAGCTAAGAGAAAGTTAAGCCATCTATAGTGCAAGGTTTTAAGTAAAGAATTTCTGAAACTGCCAAATAATTATGCAATACATCTTTGAGGTTTAAGTTATTTCTCACTCTCTCTTTTAAAAATTCATTTTGGGGATTGAGAAAGAACAAGCTTTGCCTTCTGTAAGAACTTGAATGTAAGTAAAAAGAGGTCCAACCAGAAAGTAAACCACAGTTCAGTCCCAACAAGAGAGCAGGTTTTCTAATTAGTGGCTAAGCATGAAAAGCAAGATTGTTGAAGAGTTCACCCAAGGACACCCACACATGACGGTGTATCACTTTTCCCTAAAACCAATCTGCCTTTTAAGTTTGATATGTTATCACTGTTAGTTTAAAAAGTGAATCAAATCTGATTTTCCAAAGAGACTTTCTAAAAAATAGTCACACAGTTTTTCTCCACAGGGCCTTTTAGAGGCTTAACTGTCATAACGCTAAAGAAAAATATGTTTGTAAGATTCACTTCAGAGCATGTGTAAGAAGTCTTTAAAGAAGTCTTCCAATAAATTCGCTTACTGTAAACAACAATTAGAAAAAAATATGGATGTGAAATAAGATGTGACACAGTAACTAAGATATTTCAGTTATAAGGAGCAGAGAAAGGGACAGAAATGTCAATAAATGAAAAATGTAGCTAGTTTTTGGAGAGGTGCACCATCCCCAATAAACAACACCTTCCTGAGTTTATGCCCTTGAGTGGTCTGCTCCCCTCAGGTGGCTCTGGGCTGGCTCTGTGACCTGTTTTGAACCAATAGAATGTAGCAACCATGGTGCTAAGTGACTTCCCAGGCTAGGTCAAAGCTTTGAACTTCTTTAGGTTTTTTGGAATGCTTGTCTGGGGAAAGACAGCTGCTATGTAAGAAGTCTGACTACCCTGAAACCTCCATGTTGTAAGGAAGCCCAAGTTAGCCATGTAAAGAAGCTACATGGAAGAAGGGCAGGGAAGAAAGGGAAACAGAGAAAGAGAGAGAGAGAGAGAGACAGACAGAAAGAGAGAGAGAGAGAGGAAGGGAAGGGAAGAGGGGAGAGAGGAGAAGGGGAGGGACAGAGAAGAGGGAGGGAGAGAGGCAGAGAGAAAGAGAGAGAGAGAGAAAAAGAGAGAGAGAGAGAGAGAGAGAGAGAGAGAACACAAACTTTCTAGCCAGTCTCCAACCACTTCAGCTGAGGTGCCAAACATGTTATGAAGATGCCATCTTGGACGTCCAGCCCAGTGAAGCTTTTGCATGACTCCAGCTCCAGCCACCACCTAATTGCAACTGTATGAGAGACCTTAAGCATGAACCACCTAGTTGAACTCAGTCATTTCACAAGACTGTGAGATGCCTGTTTTAAACCACTGTGCATTTGGTGGTTTGTTATGCAGCAGTAGGCAACTAACACAAAAAAAGAGGACAGGAAAGGATAAGAGAGGAAGAAGGGAGAAGTCTGCCTGTGCTAGGAAGGGTTGAGAAATTGCATACAATTCCTAAGGATAAGGAGTGTACAATGCTAGGAGGAAATATGTATTATTCAGGAGAATTCTGGCAAATGCTCATGAATTTGAAGATGCGAAGAGATAAAGAATTTTAAAATGAGAACATAAAAGCACAGTCATTTTATTACAGTGAAAAAGAGAACCCACTGCCTTAAATGTGCATTTTCCCATTTCTCCTCTACTAAGACAACATTATCTTGAAACTCTGGACTTTCTTTTCCTTTACCCTTCTAAGAGAAGACTCATGGTCTCCTTAGTTCCCTCCATGAGTCTCTGATTGCTACCCACATCCTTTCAAGCTCTTCATGCCCAAGCCGTTAGTCACTGGTCTCCTGAACCTCTCCTTATGCCTCTTAACTTGAAGCTGTACCACCTTCCTCACTCTCCATATGATACTTCAACCACCCATCTTTGAAATTTGCTTGAAACTCTTCCCCTCTCTTCCACTCTTTGCCTACAATTGAATTATTTTAAAATTATTATTATTATTTTTTGAGTCAGACTTTCACTGTGTTACCCAGGCTGGAGTGCAATGACACAATCACTGCTCACTGCAGCCTCAACCTCCTGGGCTCAGGCAGTCCTTCCACCTCAACCTCCCAAGTAACTGGGACTACAGGGAACACCATGTTTGGCTAATTTTTTATTTTTTTATAGAGATGAGGTCTCACTATGTTGCCCAGGGTGGTTTCAAATTTCGAGGCTCAAGAAATCCTCCTGTCTCAGGCTCCCAACAATGCTGTGATTATAGGCATGAGACACTACGCCCAGCCTTACAGTTGAATTTACACAGTGCATTTACTATTGTCTGCTAAGGACACAAACAAAACAAAAAAAGCAATTAGGTTACTGCCTACATGTGCATTTGGAGACTATAGTGGTAAAACAGTAATGTTTCCAATGAGCTCAGCGATTCAAACTGTATGATTCTGGGCTCTTAAATGTCAGACAGTTCAAGAAATACGAATGGGAGTGAAGGGAGAAGGCTGAGTTCTGAATTCAGCCCTCAGTACCTATTTTGTACTCCCTAGCATTTGACTTATCGGTGGTGGTGCTGTATGCGGAACACAATTAAGTATATTGATGACCTGTCAAACTGCCACACTGGTTTTGAATTCCAGCTACCCTTTCTTTTACATATGTGATGCTGAGAAAGATACCTGCCAAAGTTGTGGAATCAGTTACATGAAAATAATAACATTTCTGAAGACTAGGTGAGACAATCTATAGCCAATGGCATGGTGTAAGTGCTCAATAAATGTTAGTTGTGACCACTGTTGACTGTTATTTGAGAATCTAGCTCCTCTGAGCTTAGAGTATGTCTCTGCTGAGTAATTCAAATTTACTCATGAGTCTTCAGAGGGTTAGTGAATGCTTCCTCTAAATCAGCTTTTTCAACTAGAATAACATATTTTCTGAACAGGGCCACAAGGGAAATCTTACTATCAGCCTTGGTAGTTTGCAATTAAATACAGTGCTGTATTCTCTGAGGCAATAATTCCTAGAATTTTGTTTTTTTATTTCAAGGACTAGTTAAAACGTTTTTCAAAGTAGTAGTGACCTTACACAAGGTCACTTATTTTTTTGTACTTATTTACCATT